CTGCTGGCATTGATATGACGTATCTTAATACACATCAGTTATTTTTAAACATTTATTATAACTATCATTCATCCAGTATATAACAGGGCTCATTTTATACTGATTTAATATAATATATATTGTGAAGTTCTTCAGTGTTTTTATACTTGTATTTTACAGCCATTCTCATTTCCTGAGTCAAAAGTCACCAGGTTGAATATTTCTGCATTTTCTGACAAAAACTTTAGTAAAATTGATATGAAGGTCAGTCTTCTGGGGGCAGCATGGTGACGCAGTGGTCACTGGGTTTAATTCCTGACCTGGAGTGTTATCTGCGTGGAGTTTGTGCGTTTTCCTGGTGTTTGTGTGGGTTTCCTTCTATAGTCCAAAGACATGCTGGTGGGTTAACTGGTTTCTGGGAAAACTGGCCCTGGTGTGAGTGTGTGTGTCCTGAGCTGGACCGGTGTCATGTCCAGGGTGTGTCCTGCCCTGAGTCTGTTGCTTGCTGGGATAGACTCCAGCTCTCCTGAAACCCTGTACTGGAAGAAGTGGCGGATTGAAAGATGTAATAATAATAACTGTCAACTCACGTGTCAAGGATCACAAATGAGAGGAGCAATTTGACATTATCTAGCCCATCAGCACTTAGTTATAGGAAGTTCTCTGTTCCCTGTGTTAACAATACTTTTTATGACTTTATGTTCCTGTATGCGATTTCCCGAGACGATATGTGACATTTGTGTTTCACTTTGTGTGTCTCTGATGCCCTTTTGTACACGACACGCCCTGGTCACTTTCCCTCAGGCCTGTTGTAGCCCCTGAAAACCCCTACATCCTTCTCAACAGCCCGAGGTCCTGGGGTCCAGCCGGCGCGCATCCTCCCCGGAGCCCTGCTGGGCCGAGCCGGATAGATGTACTCTACAGCACTGCGGCGAACTAGGCGCGCCGCTACCGACCGGTACCGCTCCTGCTGCGGCCCGGCTGGGACAGAGCCGGAGCGGAGTCTCCCGCAGCGCCCTCTGGCGGCCGCGCTGCTCCTGTGCGCCTCCCGCTCTGCCCTGCTCGCTCCTTCTCTCTCTCCTACGTAACTTCGGGAACTTGGGGAGGAAAAGGAAAGTTTGGGACGAGCAG